CATAACACTGTAGATAGTAAAGAGCTGTCAAGAGACCATGAGATTTCAAATAAACAGGTAAGAGCATACTCCAGGAAATTGTAAAAGAACTAATTAGAGCCCACCATGTGTTCAGTGTCAGTTCAGAGACACAGAGAGATAGGTGCTCAACAGATGGAATATGTTAGAACCCATAAAAATGACCAAGATGGGAGGGCACAAAATCAGCAGAGCTATAATCAATAACCAACGAATTGGTACTCTCTTCTGTCTTTCCCACTGTATTTGGGCCTTTGTAGGTTACTCAATCATGTTTGAAGTGATAAAAAACCGTTATTCATTCTCAAGGCAAAAGAATTATATATGCTTTTGGGAAAAAGGAGGATAAGGGAAGGTTTTTAAACTTTTATAATGGGCCATACTACGTGTAGTACACAAATCTAAAATTCATTTATTTTCCTAGAAACAGATCTTAAACTGGCTAGAAGTAATAGATAATGTGGTTCATCAGAGCTGTATACTCTTAAATTCAGATTTTCTGAATCCATCTCACATTATCCTAGTCCCACAAGATAACTGCAAAAATGTCTTGTTGCCAAATACATTCAACAGTGAACTATACAGTTGCCTCCAAGAAATTCACTGCACATTGGTCTGTTCATTGTTTAAGAAATCTTGCAGCTAAAAACAAACAAAAATGTACCTAGTATGTTTTAAGATATAGCATCTCCAAGATTATTTGAAACGTACTTTCCTTGTTGTTTCTCTGAATATCTCTCAAAAGAACTGTTGGAAAATATTGCTTCACATGATTGATCTTCCATTTGACTGACCTGCATTTACACCTGTTCCTATTTTGTGTAGGTGATCAATTCATTTGTCAAGAGTGCTTTCATAATCATGCATTAAAATGCATAAGATTGTCATTCCTCAAAAATGCTACTATTATCACCTGTAATTAAGTCTACCAAATTGACACTAGAAAACAAACACAGAGAGAACAATGGGTAGTTGTTAGATCATTTAGCAATCAGAGGTAAAAATTAGTAGCAGAAATGAAATTATTGTCATCTCTCAAATTATTTTTCAAAGGACAATGTTACCTTATTAACTAATATTTGATTGGGGACATTTACAACCATTAATCTAGAAAAGAAATTCTTCTACTGCAGTGCACTTCCTCTACATACGTGTGTGAATGAGTGTCCATTTTCTTTAAAGTTCCAAGTTACTTATTCATTCATTAGGTAATCTTTTCACATGGAACAAAATTTTTGTGGTAATTTATGATAGTTGGAAAAAAAAGATTTGGGGTGATTATAACTCTATTTAGATATTTCTGCCTACATCTATATCATATAAAAAAAAAAGTAAAATCTGTTGACTCTCACAACTTACTAGCCAAATCTTAGATGCTGGTTGAAAATGAAGATACCTGGGTTAGTTCCCAAAAACTATGATTAATTTGGTTGGGAGTAAGAGCTAGAAATCTATTCTTAATAAACTCTAGTGAATCTGATATTAGTTGGTGTGGGAAGCAGGCTTAGAGAATATCAATCTATTGCAAAAAGCGCACTTCTCTTTGGACACCTGAAAAAAAGAGCATGCATTAAATGCCTTCAAACTCTATCAAGAATACTTCCATAAAATGGTTCCAAAAATACATTGATATAGCATATACAATTTTGATAACTTCCAGGGTAATGCAGATAATGTTTTTAAATGAGTTCATTTGTTTTGGCTTTTCCTTCTCCCCATTTTTCACTATATATTGTGGATCTGCCACCTTTTAAAAAATAGATGACACTTCCACTTCCCACTCCCACTAATATACTCACAGCTCCTCTTTAGTGAAAATTCTATTGAATGTTCTTGTGCTCCAACAGAAAGGAAAAACACAGTAGCACTATTAATCGTACCACTATTAATTAGCTGCATTATGTGGTCTAACATTTTTATCATTCTGAAACTGGGTTTATCTGATACGTTGACACATTCATACAATTTGAAAGAGTCAGTTGAAGTCACAAGGACCCAATATTAGCACTTTTTCAGTGAATGCAGGCAAATCATTCCATCGTAAAATCGTATTTTGCACTTCTGTTAATATCATATTTATAAAAGTGTCAAGAGGATGCCAAATGCTAAAAATGGAGATGGTCTAGTAACTAGAAATCCCCACCCCAGGGAGCACACGTACGTATCTCCCTACGTCCTAATACTGTGATGTGTTTTGGACACAGACATTAGAACTTCATGAAGTTTTAACTGTTGATTCTTTCCCAAGCATCATCAAGTTATGATTTAGGGAATGTGTGACTGAAATTCATTCATTCCTCATGCATAGGCACGATCACATAAATATTGCACAAAATATATTCCTAACTGAAACGAAGCGGTACAAAAACATATTTCACTCTTCGTAAAGAAGTTTGTGAGGAAATATACCTGTGATTGTATAGACACGTTTCCTGATAATACATTGACATTCACAAACAGTAGATTGCACTGCAGTTTATAAACATTTTAAGTTGCATAAACTTCCCCTTGATTTTCAAAGATAGTATGATACTGTCTCCTAAAACTCCTTTTGTTTCAACTAAGTACTCTCACATATATTCATTTATAATAATGTTATTTTTTTAAAGTGTTTTCCATTCAAGGAAAAGAAGTAAATTCCTGTGTCAGAGTGACCAAGGTGTTTGAAGAATAGGTATTAGCCAGAGAGGTCTAGATGGTAAAATCAATCTTCAAGCCTCAAAGAAGCTCCGTGAACAGAGAGGAATGCCAGGTGTCACACAGCTTTCCTTCACTCTAACTTATTCTTGACTACAGCCTGTATACATGTTCCTGGGACATTTAAACTCGTAAAGGATTTATTATCTTTACTAAATACATTAAGAAGAATGCCAGCCAGTGCCCTTTTGTGAACTGGGACATGTAGTCATGTAATTAAAAAGGTAACATGAACTCTGACTTTAAAATATATTATAGATACAAATGCTGTAAGCTAGGAAAGGTTTTCCACATCCAGTCAATGATGCAAACTTTTCATTCCTCAGAAATAATCCCTTTTTAGGTCATCGAAAAAGAATACAACTGCTGCAGCTCCTGATGCAATATCTTCATGAGCCCAGAGCACACACGAATCCTAAGGGAACTACCATAGTACAGCGCTCATTCTTGGCGCCGGAACAAATGAAACACATTGTATCCCGCACATTCCTGCCGGAGCAGGCCACTGTCCTCTTCGGTAAGATTTAAAAAGCTCCCCCAAAACGTTATTACTCCCATCACCAGTACACAGAAAATGGGGGAAAGGCTGTTTCTAGTTCTAGGACTTTAAACAACTCTAATGTCAGTACTCACAGTGGCATATTACAAAGTAATCAACAGTGCACCCTTGGGGGTAAACCACATATTGAGCGAATGAAGACCTTGCTGTGATTAAGATTAGATCAAACAATAGCGCAATATAAAGAAATTTTATCTGAATTCTGTAATGAACATACATGCTGTAATAACATTTAAAAAGCATGGCAGCCTGTGCCAAACCAATGAGAATAGTTCTGTGCAAACAGTGGGTCTTCATGTGTTTGAACTCCCACCATGTAAGGCCAAACTCGATATGCATGCTAATGACCTATAATTATGAAATTAAAAAAGAAAAATGCTAACTAGAATGAACATCAGTGAAAGCCACAGAGACCCACTCTCTTTTAACTTCTTACGAATAAAATATAAATTAGAAACACAAATCATCATGAGTAGCTCTAACATGCAAATGAAGTAAATGAATTGTGTAGAAGATTAACCCCACAAGTTTGTTTCTTTTTAAAAAATTTCTTGAGCAGCTCTTTGATGATGGTGATGTTTATCTCCTTCTTCTCTGCAGCCAAGCCCAGCAAAAGAATGGCACAGAGCGGTTGCCGGCCAAGCCTGGGTGCTCCTAGTGCTCCTGCACGTGGGCTGTGCAGAATGGTTGTCGTGCGGAGAACCCTCCGTGGCCTCTCCGTGCGCTGGCTCCACGCTGTCGGTGAGGCTCATGTCACAAAGATCTTTGGAGAGTTGGAGGTGGGGATCTGAGTGCAGCGCCAGCACCCCCTGCTCCTGCCTGCCCGCCCCGCCTGAGGGCTCTACTCACCACCATGCTTGTCGGCAGCCCCAAGCTCCTGGGGGGCTGGGGCTCCTGGACCGGGCTCATCAGCAGGGTTCTGGGCAGTGGCCAGGAATTTGTGGTGCCCCTTGTTGTAGTCGCCACAAGTTGCAACAGCATCTCCTGCAGTGCCAGCAGCTTCACCTGGAGGGAGGAGTGCTCAGCTGTCACGCCGCTGCCGGCGCCCACCCTCACGCCTACGCCCACCCCCACAGAGATGTTGCACACGCTACCTTCATCTCCTCCCTGTCCTGGGCCAGCCTGATGATGTCCTCCTCCCATTGCCGCATCTTTGGCACTGGCCCCTGGCTCTGTTACAAAGTGATGAACGTTCCTGCAGGAGGACAGGGCTCAGACGCTGGGGCCCCTCCTAGGGCCCTGTAGCTCCCCCTGCGGTGCCCTGGCCTCCCACTCACTGAGGGCATCTCTCTCTCCAGTACTGGATGAATCAAAGTTCTTGTTTCTCCACCTGCTCCCTCAGGTCCGCCTTCTCCTCCAGGTGGTCCATACGCCCGCTCTGGAGCCAAAGTAATGGGGTCACATCTCGACAGCGACCTGCCCTCAGGTGGCACTTTCAAGTCATGGGGAAGCCGAAAGTGAGTCCTGGTATAGGACAGCTTCTCCATGACTTCCTGCAGGGTCCAGGGGGTCTCCCCACTCACAGACTCACCCCCAGTCCCTGGGGCTGGGACCGCTGCTTCTGACTCCTTCTGGGACAAGACCACCGGGTGAGCCAGGTGCTGGCAGCACACCCTCTGCTCTTTCACCTGCTCTGATAACCGTGCCTGCTCCTCCTGGGCACTGGCTCCAGCGGATTTGAAAAATGGCACCAGAGGGCAAGACCTGAGCATTCTTTTAGGGGCATACACAGAACAAATGGGGCAGAGAGGTGGAGCACAGCCCCTTTCCTTGGGGCCTCAGAGTGTGCACCTGTTGGTCACAGGGGAAATGGGGTCTGACCACTGGCTCCCGGAAGGGATGAGGGCGCAGAGAAATCAGAAGGCAGGGAAAGTAAGAGCATAAAGGGGTCTTGCAGGGACCACAGAGGAAGGTGGTAAAATGGGTGCGGGGGGAGTCAGGCTCACCATGGCCTCCCAGCTCTCCAGGTCCTCTGGGACGCTCGGCATGGGCCGAGGTCCCTCCTCCTCCTCACTGTCCAGATGTTCTCCTCCATCTCCTGTGGGGAGTGGCCAGAGGGCTCCTCAGACAACCCAACAAGGGAGGTACTATGGGCCCACCTCTGCCTCCACCCTCACTGGGTAACCCTGAGCCAGCCCCTCCCCAGAGAGGAATGAGCTGCTGTTCTTTATTTTTATTTTTAAGACCCAAGATCTTGCTACACCGCCCAGGCACAGTCCCACTACTGGTCAGTGCAGGAATTCTGACCTGCTCCATTTCTGACCTGGGCCAGTTCAGCCATCCTTAGGCAACTTGGTGGCCCCACCACTCCCAGGAGGTCACCATATTGATGCCGAACTTAGTGCAGGCACCCGGTCAGCATAATGACCAGCTGTTCTAAAGGTCTCTTCCAACTCCTCAATCCTGTGCTGCTAACAGTCCCCCCTTCCTCCTGGGGCTCTGTCCTCTTCCTCTGAGTGGCCTCCCGTACCTTCCCCAGGGAGAGCCGTGAGGCGCAGCTGGGCCGTTAGCTGCTGATTCTGCTGCCTGGCAGCCTCCAGGTGCTCCTAAGGGGCCAGGAAAGAGTGACAAGGCACGGAGTTTGCCAGGTCGTCCCCCTCATGGCCCCGTCTTCAGCAGCTCCCTCCCCGGGTCTCCTGTAACTTTTGGCGGGCCATCTCGGCCACCGCTTTGCCCCAAGCTTCCTGTTGCTGCAGCTGGTTCATTAGCTGGGTCTGCTGCAGTAACTGCCTGTGCAGCGCCTCCTTCTCAGAGGTCAGCTGCTGATAGGCGGCCACCTGCTGCTGATAGGTCGCCACGGACTGCTGCAGGTGACCCAGGTAATGGTCTGGCTGCTGCTGCAGACTCTGAGCCTCTTGGCTCTTCAGCTCCACCCGCAGGAAGACCCTGGATATGAGGGCACGTGGCGGCTGGCTTCCAGATTCTGGGCCCATTAATAGGGTAGTGAGGGCACTGTGGGGCTCTGTTGTCTTCCCAGGACCTGGGCCCCTTGCTCCAGGTCTCAGTGACTGCCTCCCTTTCCTAGAACCCCATGCCTTTTTCCCCATCCTCAAATGGCATACCCTTTTCTTACCATTTAAACTGTAGGCCACCGACTGATGGAAAAACAGTGGGAGCCAACCACTATGTGCTAAGTGTGCTATAGGCCTAACGCTTTCCATGTATTATCTCATTTAATCCTCAGCCCCTCTGTAAGGAAAATGCTAACTTCCTTTTGAAGTTAAAGAAACAGAGACTTAGAGATGCAAAGTACTTGAATGGTGACCAGTGGAACCGAGGCTGGAATCCAGTTTTAATCTAAGGAGCCTTTTTGTTTTGTTTTGAGACAGAGTGTCACTCTGTGGCACAGGCTAGAGTGCAGTGGTGCAGTCTCAGCTCACTGCAACCTCCACCTCCTGGGCTCAAGTGATTCTCATGCCTCAGCCTCCTGAATAGGTGGGATTACAGCCATGCACCACCATGCCTGGCTATTTTTTTTTTTTTTTTTTGGTCATTTTAGTAGAGATGAAGTTTTACCATGTGGGCCAGGCTGATCTCAAACTCCCGACCTCAAGTGATTCTCCTGCTTGAGCCTCCCAAAGTGCTGGGATTATAGGCGTGAGCCACCGTGCCTGGCATAAGGAGCCTCTTATCCCACTGTCTGTTCACCTATGATTGGGGGGCTCTATGCCTCTAGCTGGGATGATGATGTCCAGACCTGGGAGGATCCCAGGGCTACCCACCTCTAAAAGTCAGGGGACAGGAAGCAAGAAACAGTCACGGGACTGTCCTGGAGGGTGCTGGTGTCACCTGCCCCCAGGCTGGAGCTGCCTTTGGCCTGGCACCTCCCCTCCCCAGAGGCTGGTGCCCGCCTCCCAGCCCTTCTTGGATGGGGCAGAGGTTACCGTCTCCTTTACCTCATCCAGCTTCTCCTGTAGCTCCTCCACTTGCTGCTCCAACTGCAGTGCGCTCTTGTTCTCGTTGTTCTGGACAGAGAGAAGCAATCAGCAGCCACCCACTGAAACTGGAGACCCCAGAACTCGGTGTCTGCCTCCCACGGCACGGGGAAGGGTGGAGGCAGGTTAGAAAAATCATCCCCTATGTCCCACAGCCACCAGAGCAGGGCTCTGGCTCACAGGTGCATTTAGAAGTAACATTTCACATGAGGGCTACGTTGCCCCATTTTACAGGTGGGGAAACAAAGGCCTGGAGGGCTGGGGAGGAGGACAGGCTGTCCAGGGGGGCAACGCACCAGCTCCTCGACACCGCTCTGTGGCTCGGGCAGCTGCTGAAGCCTCTCCTCCTGCCTCCCAAGCCTCTCCTTTTGTGGCCGGTTCAGGAGACTTACGTGTTGATGGTTTTCCACGTGGGCCTGGAGCTCTGCTGACACCCTCTCTAGTTTCTTCCTCAGGTGCTGCAGCTCCTCCTCAGGGGGCACAGCTGGGGGCTCCGGGGGCTGGGGTTCAGCTGAGAAAGGAAGCAGACAATAAGGGCCTCTGGCTTGTCCAAAACAAAAACCCTCCTCTTGGTGCACAGCTCCTCTCAGCCTCCCCAAACTTGGCCTCACTGCTAATGATTCCTTGCACCTGGATGGCAGCCAATCTTCCAACCACTTTCAGATGGAGAGCACTGTGGGTGGCTGACAATGGGCCCTCTTTGCTGATGGGGACACTGGGGGTAATGGAGATGACAAGACTTGCCGTCTCCTGGCACAGACCTCTTTCCCTCTGCCTCAAAGCTCTTCCATCCACCCACCTCCCTGGGGCATTCTAAGCCCCACCACAGCCCTCTGATGCCAGGCCTGCTCCCAGGTCACGCCAGCCCCATCGTACCCATCCGGTTCTTGAGTTTGGACAAGCTCCTCTCCAGCTTCTCTACCCGACGCATATCATCCTTCTTCTCCTTCTTCAATGTGCAAACCTGCCCAAAGCACAGGGGGAAAGGGCCCTGGAGAGAGGGGCTGGTGACTGGTGGCTGCCATCTCCCTCTCTGTCCCCACCTCCACAAAGCCCAGACCCATGACCACCTCTGGCTGTACTGTTCCCATTTTACAGATGCCCAGAAAGATCCAGTGACCTATCTAAGATGGGGGTGCTGAAGGGTCAGACCTCACCTCCTGCGACATTTTCCTCATCCTCTGCTGCCACCAGACTCTCTCTTTTATATGTTGAGCATATTCATCTCTCTCTAGCTGGACTTGTTTAAGCGACTCCTTCAACTGCAAGAATGGGCACAGAAGTTAGGAAGGGCTGTCACTGGTCCTCACCTGCTCCTGGCCACTTGGGATCATCTTCCTTCCACATCCCTCCCTCTGCAAAACCTCACCTGTGTCAGCTGTGCTTTCAGCCGTGCCTTCTCCTGTATGGACTGCTCTAACTGCCACTCAGTAAGTGCTTGACTACGGCTTGAGAACTGGATGGTGAAGAGTGAGAAGTTTCCATCTGGAGAGCCTGGGCCATTCCACACAGTGCCCCTTAAAAGGGCTAGGGCTAGGCTAAATATACAACTCAGTCAATAAAGATCAACGCACTTCCGAGCCCATGCTCTGGTTTTTAAAAGAACTCTAAACTTGGAAGGGACAGGGAATGAGATGGAATTTACAGCTGCCTAACAGAGGCCCAGAGAGATCAGATAATACTGCTATTGTTATTACTGTTATTACTACCACTGTCTGAACCTTTATGGAGTGCTTCACCAGGCACCACGCTAGCAATCCCATTTACTCCTCACAACCACCACAGGAGGCAGTTACTATGATGACCTCTATTGTGTAGATGAAAAAACATGGAGTATTTGAGGTTAAATGCTTGCCTAACACCACGTAGGCAGAGCTGGGATTTGAACACCCAGGTTTATCTGATTCTCTAAGCCAATTTTTTTGCTGGGGTTGGGGGTACAGATAGGAAGGGGAAAATTAATCTTTCGTTCAGTTTTTGAAACGATGATACCTTTGCATAGTCCAAAACTCGGAAAGTACAGAAGGGAAGTATCTCCCAGCCACCCTGTTGCTCTCTCCCGAGTTTTTTTATGAACGGTTGCAGACATGTTTTATGTATACTATCATAATATGTGCACACACACACACACACACACACACGTTTCCTCTCTCTACAGAAATGGTATCATACTAAAGGTACTCTTCTGTACCTTCACAGAACAAGTACCCAATACCCCACCTAGGACTTGGCCAAGACCCCAGCCAGGTAAGGGCAGGGCAGGAACTTGGCCTCCAAGCTCTGCATCCAGTGTTCACCCCCCACCGCGCCCCTCAACTCACCCACAGCAGCTGACTCAGCCCCAGGCTGCCTCTAACAACCAGACACAAAAGCAACAAGACAAGGCCATGCTGCCTCCTGGGCAGGCCACTCCATCCTGCAGAAGGGACCCTTAGGCTCACTCCTCCATCTGCGAAGCCGGGCTCCCAGGGCACAGGGCGGGTGGTTGGACTCACTCTGTCCACCTTCTTCTGTGTGGCGGTGACAGCAGAGAGAGCCCGCTGTAACTCTCCTCTATGCTGCAATGAATGTTGCAGGCGGCCAGCCAGATCCTTGGACTCCTCTGTAATGAGAGAGTTCAGATGGGGCCCAAAGGACCCTCCCTAAAGACCTGTCAAAGTGTCAGGTTGAAGGATGACAGGGTGCCCAGATTCCCACCTTTAAAGTATCTGAGAGAACGTTTCATGTGAAACAGGTCCATACTCAGTTTTCCTTTCTGTATGGTGGCCCTGGGGTAGTTGGACTTTTTACATGGTGACTCATGGTCACTCAGAGCATGAGTGTTCTGGTGAACAATGTGGAAACTGCGTTATCATAAGACTTATGGCCTAGTCTCAGAAGTCACACAGCGTCACTTCAGCAATGCTCTATTGGTTGAAGCAGTCGCAAGCCCATCTAGATTCAAGGAGAGGGAAATTAAACTCCACTTCCTGATGGGATAGTGGCAATGTCACAAAGAGAAGAGCACATGGTATGAGGAATATTGTTGTGCCATCTTTGGGAAATACAATTTTTCAGAGATTATAGAAGGAATCCGGGGAGTTGAGTGATGGGAAGAATGGGAAAAAGTAGATCAATTGTGGAAAGTTTATTCAATGCAATACTACACAGCAGTGAAAATGGGTTAACTACCGCTCCATACATGAGTGTGGATGAAGTTTACAAGAAATACTGTGTGTTGTTAAATATTTCAAAAAATTTCATGCTACCAGTTTTATAAATGTCAAAATAGTTAAGCAACTCAATTGGTTTTATAAACTTCAAAATATTTAAAATAAGCAACACAATGTTATCATTTAGGAACACCTATACATGAGGCTTTGCAAAAAGTTTTTGGGGCTAGTTTACTTTTTCCAACTACACTTTAAGATAATCCCAGGGAGGATGCTCTTAGCCCAGGAGTTCCAGACTGGCCTGGGCACCATGTGAAACTTGGTCTCTCTCTATTTTTTTTCCCCCGAGGTGAGTTTAGCTCTTGTTGCCCAGGCTGCAGTGCAGTGGTGGGGTCTTGGCTGCCCATGGCCTCAGCCTCCCACGTTTGGGTGGTTCTCCTGCCTCAGCCTCCTGAGTGGCTGGGATTGCAGGCGTGAGCCACCATGCTTGGCTCAGTTTGTATTTTAATTAATTAATTTATTTATTTTTTGGTGGATAGGGGTTTCTCCATGTACATTAAGCTGGTATCAAACTCCCGACCTCAGTTTATCCGCTGGCCTTGGCCTCCCCAGGTGTTAGGATTACAGGCGTGGACCACCGTGCACCACTCAATTTATTAATCAGAAAGGAATAATAGATCGGCCTGGTGTGGTGGTTCACGCTTGTGATTCCAGGACTTTCAACGACCGAGCGCAGCAGATCCTTTGAGCCTAGGAGTTCCAGACCGGCCTGGGCAGGCCGGGCACGATGGTGAAACCCGGTCACTTTTTTTTTTTTTGGAGGCAGAGATTCGGTCTTGTTGCCCAGGCTGGAGGGCAATGGCGAGGTCTGGGCTCATCCTGCCTCCGCCTCCCGGGTTTGGGTGGTTCTCCTGCCTCAGCCTCCTGAGTGGCTGGCATTGCACGTGAGCCACCATGCCGGGCTCGTTTTGTATTTTTTATTTTTATTTTTTTTTGGTGGAGATAGGGTTTCCCCATGTTCATCAGGCTGGTCTCAAACTACCGACCTCAAGTTATCTGCCCTCCCCAGCCTCCGAGGCTGCTGGGATTGCAGGCGTGAGCCAGTGCCTAAGGCCCAATTTACTAATCAGAAAGGAATAGATTGGCCTGGCGTGGTGGCTCACGCTTGTGATCCCAGGACTTTGGATGGCCAAGCGCTATGGACGCTTGAGCCTGGGCAACATGGTGAAACCGGGTCTCCCTTTTTTTGTTTGTTTTGTTTTTGTTTTTGAGGCGGAGTTTCGCTCTTGTTGCCCAGGCTGGAGTGCAGTGGCTGGGTCTCAGCTCCCCGTGGCCTCTGCTTCTTGGGTTTGGGTGGTTCCCCTGCCTCGGCCTACCAAGTGGCTGAGATCGCAGGCGGGAGCCAGCACAGCCTGCTAAATTTTCTTTCTTTCTTTTTTTTTTTTTGGATACATAAGGGGTTTCTCCCTGTTGGTCAGGCTGGTCTCAAACTCCCAACCTCAGGTTACCCGCCCGCCTTGGCCTCCGGGGGTGCTGCGGATGCAAGCGTGAGCCAGCACGCACAGTCCAATTTATTTTATTTTATTTTATTTTAGAGACGGAGTCTCACTCTGTCACCCAGGCTGGGTGCAGTGGCGCTATCCCGGCTCACTGCAACCTCCGCCTCCCAGATTCAAGCAATTCTCCTGCCTCATCCTCCCGAGTAGCTGGGATTACAGGCGCCCGCCACACACTCGGCTAATTTTTAAATATTTTTGATAAAGACGGGGTTTCATCACGTTGGCCAGGCTGGTCTCCAAACTCCTGACCTCAGGTGATCCACCCACTGAGGCCTCCCAAAGTGCTGGGATTACTTAATAGGCGTGATCGGCCTGGCGTGGTGGCTCACGCTTTTGATCCCAGATGTAGGATGCCTGAGCGCAGCAGATCGCTTGAGCCTAGGAGTTCCAGACTGGCCTGGGCAACATGGTGAAGGTCTGTTTTGTTTGTTTTGAGGCGAAGTTTCGCTCTTGTTGCTCAGGCTGGAGTGCGATGTCATGGTCTGGGCTCCCCGCGGCCTCCGCCTCCCGGGTTTGGGTGGTTCTCCTGCCTCAGCCTCCCCAGTGGCTGGGATTGCAGGCGTGAACCACCACACCTGGCTAATTTCGTTTTTTTTTTTTTTTGGCACAGACGAGGTTTCTCCATGTTGGTCAGGCTGGTCTCAAACTCCCGACCTCAGGTTATCCACCTGCCTCGGCCTCCCGGGATGCTGGGATTGCAGGCATGAGCCAGCGCACAAGACCCAATTTATTAATCAGAAAGGAACAGATCGTCCTAGCACGGCGGCTCACGCTTGTGATCCCAGGACTTTGGACTGCCTAGGAGTTAAGGCCGGCCTGGGCACCATGGTGAAATTGAGTCTCTGTTTTTTTTGTTTTTGTTTTCGTTTTTGTTTTTGTTTTGAGAGGGAGCTTCGCTCTTGTTGCCCAGGATGGAGTGCAGTGGCAGGGTCTCAGCTCCCCGCAGCCTCCGCCTCCAGGGTTTGGGTGGTTCTCCTGCCACAGCCTCCCTAGTGGCTGGGATTGCAGGCGGGAGCCACCACGCCCGGCTAATTATGTATCTATGTATTTTTGTTGTTGTTGTTAAGAGATAGGGTTTCTCCATGTTGCTCAGGCTGGTCTCAATGTTCTGACCTCAGGTTATCTGCCCGCCTCGGCCTCCCCTGGTGCTGGGATTGCAGGCCTGAGCCAGTCCCTAAGGCCCAGTTTATTAATCAGACAGGAATAGATCGGCCTGGCGTGGTGGCTCACGCTTGGGATCCCAGGTCTTTGGAGGGCTGAGCGTGGCGGATCGCTTGAGTCTAAGAGTTCCAGACCGGCCCGGGCAACAAGGGGAAACCTGGTCTTTTATTCATTCTTGAGGCG